GGAGACAAAGCACTCTGCATAACCGATAAATTATAAGCAGGCACCGTGTGTTAGCTTGATGGATTGTTATAGTGAATGCGTGTGAGTCATGGGTGTTATTTTTGGTCAAAAGAATTGTGTGAACTTTCCTCCTCTATTTCGAGCACTTTGAAAGGGACTACTTTCTTTTTTTTGTTTTTCTTTAATGTACATGTCAAGGAATTAGGCGCCCTATCAGCGTAGTCATTTTCTAGTTTTCAAAGTCATTGTTTTGGAGTTGAGAAGGTGGAGGAACTGAATAGAAAAGAATTGCGTGTTGATAAGGAATCTAGCCTGTTACATGTAAAAGAAAATTACTGTCACCTGCTTTGAAGCAGTGGTGCCACCCCCACCCCACTGAACTCCAGGGGTCAAGTTTAAAGCTGGGGTAGATTTACAGGGAACTCACTCTTGGAGGCATTCTGATTTTAATAAACCATTTTTTGCAGCCAATATAGAAATGCCTGGCTTTTGGTAGATTTCTTTTAAGCCAGGCTGTAGAGTAAATAATGTTCTGTAATCACATCACTGGATCTCTAAATAAATGTTTCCCAAAGCAGCCCACCGTCTGTCCTGGCCATCACTGGAATTATTGACCGACTTTTATACTGAGTGTCTTCCTTACTCTAGTTTCCACATTTCTAGGAAAACCATTTGAGCTCAATGCTTTTTAAAGTGAGGCCCAGGCTGCAACCTAATTGTTTCTGGTTCACGACAAGATACGTACAGAAATTGAGAGTAAGTGTTCAGAAACTTTTATAGCAGTTTGACAGCATGGTTTTATGTCTATTTAATGATACACACTTGGGGTTTTATCTTTTTGTCTTCTTAAATTTATTTGCCTAGTCATTCATTTTTATTAGATTTTATAAAAGTATTGATCTATTGTGGATTGGAAAAAGAGAACTGGTCTTTCCCCACCAATAGATTGACTTGTACTGGTTTACTAACACAGTAACTACCAATGGAGCCACTGCAGTTACATTGTCAGTGACTGTCAGGGTCTTCCTACCCACCAGAGACTAAGGAGATATTGATTTAAAAAGGGAAAGTTGGGGAAGTTGGAGACTTTTTCCCCCGTCTTTTGTTACATTTTCATTGTTGGTCTTACAGACATTTCTCTGGGCCACTCTTTGCCATTTAGCAGAAGGCTAAATGAAGGTTTAGGTGAATTTTGCTTCACGTCCTCCAGAAGGGGATGCTGAGAGTCACCTGAATGTGCAGTTGGCAGCCAGCTCCCAGACGGAGCAAGCGCTGGGCTGCTCCTCCCGCCACTCCCCAGGGACAGTCACTGCTGCCTGGTGGCCTGGCCCTCCATCTGGTAGGGAGGGATGATGTTTGCTGCCAAGGGAAAGGATCAATGAGCTAATGTCTGGGGAACGTTCTGGAGTTCCATGGAGGAAAGGCAGAGGCCACCCACACGTGACACCTTGAGCTAAGGAAGGAAAGCTGTGAATGGAAAGGGGGAACCAGGAAAAGAAAATCAAGAATTGAGTCATCTCTTGACTTCACTATAGTCCGTGGAAGGGTCAGCCTGCTCTTGTGGCCTTGAACTATACTTTCAAATGGAAGTTTTGAGACGTGATGGGGAGAGGGAGAGAGGGAAGCCTATTTGCCTTTTCCCCTGCCTGGAACTTTTTCTCCACAATATCTACAAGGCTCTGTCTCTTGCCTTTTTCAAGTCTTGACTTAAGGCCTTACTGAGGACTTCTGTGGCCCTTTTCCCCAGTTCATTCTATTCCCTTTGGCTGCTTTATTTTTCTCTGCCACATGTTATCAGCTAACACATGGATCCATTATATATTCTATTGTAATATAATATAGTTAATGTGATGTCTGCCATTCAATGCAGTTTCCAAGGGCAAGGGTTTTGTCTGTATTGTTTGCTGCCATATCTTCAGGTCTAAAGCAGTGCCTGGCAGATGCCAGGTGCCCAATAAATACTTGTTAGAGAAATGAACGAATGAATAATCAACAGTGAAGGGGCAGGATCGCAAAGGAGTCAGCTGTGTCCAACGAGGCCTTCTCTGCATCCACGCAGCTCTGTTCACTGAGTGTTGGAGTAGGAGACGTGAGACGGGCACAGCTGAGGGACGTAACCCACCTTTACTGAGCGCATACTGGATGCCAGGCACTGTGGTAGGCATTCCATGTTCATTATTTAAAGATTAAATCACTGTGTATTGCTAGCTCCATCTTACAGATAGGGAGACTCAAGAGGTTAAGAAACTCCTGCAAGGTCACCCAGCCCAGGAAGTGGCATGAGCAGAATGCAGCCTCGTCTGATTTCTCCCATTCAGGGAAATTTCCAAAAGCAGTCATTTGTTCATTTGTTTCTTTGTTTTCCTACCCACAAAATAGGTTTTAATTTTCCTCATCCATCACCAATTTTTTGTCTTTGGAGAACAGAAATCTGGGAAAATTGGAAGTCAAATATTACAAGATGGGAGCTTTGCAAATAGGGGGCTGAAAAATTCGATGGAATTACTGAGTAATGTTCTCAAATAAATGAATGGAGATCAGAGCTTGGTTAAATGATCAGAGCTAATGGGGATGAATGGTAGTTTTTTTGTTTTGTTTTCTTTTGTTTTTTTGAGACAGAGTCTCACTCTGTTGCCCAGGCTGGAGTTCAGTGGTATGATCTCAGCTCACAGCAACCTCCACCATCCGGGTTCAAGAGATTCTCCCACTTTGGCCTCCTGAGTAGCTGGGACTACAGGCATGTGCCACCAAGCCTGGCTAATTTTTGTATTTTTTAGTAGAGACAGGGTTTCACCATGTTGGCTAGGCTGGTCTTGAACTTCTGACCTCAGGTGATTCACCTGCTTTGGCCTCCCAAGTGCTGGGATGAGCCACAGCGGCCGGCTGGGGATGAATGTTTTCCTATGCATGGCTCCATGCCAGGCATTGGTTTCAGTCTTGGTACTCGCTCTTATTTTTCCCAATCTCTCCTAGGAAGAGTGCAACCTCCACACTCAGCTTATTGCCTCTTATTTTAAAAATAGTTATGAAACATCTACTAGGTGCTTGGGAGAGGTCAGTAGAGACAACGAAGTTCCTTGCCCTTCATGGAACTTATGTTTCAGTAAGAAGAGGGAGACAGGAAGTCCACAGTAAGCAATGAACCATGAAGTAAATGATATGGTGTATTAACAGATGGCAAGTGCTCCAGAATCAAAGAAAAGGTAGCACGGGGGAAGGTTTCAGTATTAAATCGATCAGTCAAGATGGACTCTGTTGAGACAGTGACCTTTGAGCAAAGACTGAAAGAGGTGAGGCAGTGAACCAAGAGGCTCTCTGGCGGGAGAACATTTCCAGCAGAGGGAACAGGGCCCTGGCCCTGAGATAGGATCATGCCTGGTCTGTGTGGGGGACCACAGGGAGAAAAGCATGAAGTGGGGAGACTTGGTAGGTGTAAGTGAGACAACAGGATATCGCAGCAAGTGAGATACGGGAGGTGAGCCAACATGGAATTGTCATCTTTTCCTTTCATTCTCTTTTTAGTACTCAGCACAGTTACATATTCCTCCAAGTATTAGCAGTGAAGTCTTTGGAAGTGTAGCCATTCCAGTCAGGCTCGTTCCCTGACCTCTCTGGATTTGGATTTCTGCAGCTGTAGCAGGAGGGGATCCTTTACTATTTAGATCATCTTTAATATCCATTGTTTGACTCTCCTGGAATGCTTCCCCCTTCCTGAGGGCCTGTTGGACTCCTTGCTTCCCTCTCTCCTTTCTTCCTTCATTTATTCATCGTGAGCTTTTAAAACACTCTTCCTTACCCAAGCACTGTCGGAGCAGTGCACGTGGAAGCAGAGGAAGTAGAAAGCGGAATCTCTGCCTTTCAATAGCTTGCAGTCTTTTCTTGCTAAGGTTCAATAAGAAGGTGATAAGTCAGGTGAGAATTAGGAAAAGTCTATTAGCAAAATAAGAAAGTACAGAAGAACAAGAAGCCATTCGAGGGAGGAGAAATGTGAGTGAAAGGCTGAAGGAGTAGGTAGCTGCATTGGCGGGGGCAGTCAGAAATTCCAGGTTCAGGGAATGTGGGAAAGGGGCGAGGATACGGCCAAAGGTGTCTGCATGCTCTGGGGAAAGGGGCAAGCAGGCTGTGACACAGAGCCACACCGAAAGGGGAGGCAGGCCAATGGACCAGCCATGGAGACCCAAGAGACCTGGATCCCAACAGGAGGTAAATCTTGAGGAAAGGATGATGCCGTGAAGATGGGAACAGAGAGCGATTATCCAGGATATTTAGTACTGTGTGAGGTAGAATAAGAAAATAAAGAAGGGAAATCCAGTCCAGAAAACTGTTGCATTGTTTCCAGATCCTGATTTTGAAAATTCTTACTTGTCACCGACCTCTTTTCTGGCTCCCCCTAGAAATGTAATCCAAATTTTGGACATTGAGTTCATATACAAAAGCTTATGAGGCAACATGTATTTGAAGAATAAAGAAGCTATCTAAACAAGAAAATGAAGCTTTCTTTTAATATATTGTTGGCCCAATTTTTAGAATTTAGTTCTGTGTCCATTTTCAGGATTTTTAGTGATAAACTCTCAGGTTATTATTTTATTTTTGAAATGGAGTCTCGCTCAGTTGCCCAGGCGGCAGTGCAGTGGTGTGATCTCGGCTCACAGCAACCTCTGCCTCCTGGGCTCAAGCAATTCTCCTGCCTCAGCCGCACATTTTTTTTTTAAGGCAAATAACACTGACTCTTCCAAGTCAGTCTTGTTCAAGTACCACCTCTGTGAGCCATTCTGGAAACAACGAATATCCCCACATTGAGGTTCACGGCCAACTTCACTTTCCTCCATGGCATTGCAGGGGTGTGATTCGCATACTGGCTGGATTCATACATGCGTTTCCTCTAATGGGCTTTGTGTGGTTCAGCGGGGCTTGGATGCCAGCATCAACAAGCCCGATAACCCAGCATTTATCCAGGCCTCCATTTCTGATTGTATTTCATAACGTGTTGATATTTTTAGGCTAATCTTGCACAACTGCTGAGAGAGTCTCAGGACCGAAATAAACATCTGGGAGAAGAAATTAAAGAACTTCAGCAAAGGCTCGGAGAAGTCCAGGGTGACAACAAGGTACTGTGAGTATTTACAGAGAAACAGCTCTGCTGCAAAACTGTGCATTAGAGGTTTATGTATTGCACATTGGAAAAATGTAGTGCAGCATTTGTTGAAAATTTTGTTATAGATTTTTTAATTTATAATGGAAATTCGCATTTAGCAATCTTTTTACATTCCCTTTGTGTGTGTGCATGCCTGTATATGTGTGTTTCTCAGTGGCTGTAAAATATTGCCACAGCCTATTGTAGAAGTTTTGTTTCGTTCAGCTTGGTGGTGAGTAGCACTGTGGTGGAGGGCAAAATAAAACCCAATTGCTATACTTTCCCCCTTCTATACAAATAATGGATTTGTGGCTCAGATGATTGGAATTATTCACATTCAGTTTTGAATTTTAAGTAGTCATCCTACTAATTATGTTCACATAACCAATTTATTTTATTGCTAAATTTGGCAATTTGTATGGAACATTACTCAAAATCCACTGCTTGATATTAATCAAACTCCCCTGTTGGCAACGTTAATTATAAAATATGAACTCATAAACCCCCAACTAAATGTGTGCACTCCCTCTCCCAGCTGAAGCGATGCACAAAAGTACAATTGAGAAAGGAAAGAAAAACTACCAAAGTTTAATTCTGTGCCCTAGAATCATTTGCTGTTTTGCCAGGATTGATTCATTTCCAGCTCCTTGCCAGAGACAGCTTTTGCTACAGAGATGGCGTTGGAAGGTGACTCAAGAAAACTATAGTGTGTGTGTGTGTGTGTGTGTGCGCGTGTGTGCACGTGAACATGTGTGTGTGTGTGTGTGTGTGTGTGTGTGTGTATGTGTGTGTGTTGGGGGAGTAGTTCTTGGGGAAATGTTTTTAGATGTTACCAAATTGCTTGACAAATGGTGGTGACTTTCATCATTGCTTGGAATTGTTGGTTATTAGAAGGAGCCATTTTGAAAAATGCTTACTCTAAACAACGCATAGAATTGCCTGGGTTGTCCAGAGAACTCTTCCGTAACAAGACATCAGAGAGGACCCTGCATACCACTGGCTTGAGAGGCCTGACTTGAGGGCATATATGCATCTAGTAGCCTTCTTTACACAGCTTCTTCTCCACTTAACTAGCCTTAAATTTTTTTAACCTCTTGGATTTAACATAAATTTGAAAAATCAGGCTTTACTGTTCCTGGTCATGAAATAGAGGGTGAGAAAGAATGTCCAGGAAAGGTTCTAATTAACACTGGACAAGCTAATCCGGCCCCTTGTGTGGTTTTATGCATCATTAAAAGGACTTAGGCTTTGTAACCTAAGTGTTTGGTCAATGAAGGACCAACCTTAGTCACTTCCTCAAGTGATAACAGCAGGGCAAGATTTTCTAGAGAATTAAACAAAATGTATGCAATAGTTTTCTTTAAGCCCATGAACATACTGGAGAAGTTTATAAACCCATGAAATACTGAAACATATTTAAGATGTGACTTTTGGATCTGTGACTCCTCTTGACTGACTGATACAGACTTTTTCTATTTTTTTTTTCCTGAGCTCCCCCCTCCCCCAAGTTTCCTAAATATGCTTCTGTCTCATCTTTTGGTCACTTTTAATTTTTTTTTGCCTTTTAGGCATGAGAATTTTAGGAACTGACGTTTGCAACTGATAGTTCACGGCAACAACAAAGGGAGAGCAGGCAGGCGTGGGGTGCACGCTTATGGTCCCAGCTACTCAGGAGGCTGAGGCCCAGACGATTGTCTGAGCCCAGGAGGTTGAGGCTGCAGTGAGCCATGATCACGCCAATGTAGTCTAGCAAGGGTGACGGAGTGAGACCCCATCTCTTTCAAAAAGAAAAAAAAGAAAGGGAGGGCCTGTGTGTGGGTTAGTGTGCGTGCGAGCGTGTTTGTGTGTGGAACACTGCTCACAGATTGTCACAGTCTGAACTTTGTGATCTGCGTGCTCTCTGGGTCTGGATTCCAGTACCTGGGCACATTCATCAACCTTTGTCTTCTCACCTTAGGTTTAGAATTTAGTGACTCCTATTCATGGCCTGTGAAGAAATTTGCCTGCCAAAGGGGTAGGGGAGGATGTTCTGTTGTTGAGCATACCTCCCCATTTCAGTGTCTGCCCTCTCTCCCTCAAAAAGGAAAAAAGGCTAACTGCAGTGAGCCCCAGAGATTCCATTTATTCTCATTTGCCTGTAAAGTTACAGGGCTGGTTTATTTTCAGGCTCGTGTGAGTCATGATCATCCTTCCCCCAACCCCCACCTGGAGGCCAGATTACTCATTCCATAATGATACCAGGCTTGCTTGAGAACCTCAGAAGCCCCTGTTCCCAGGTAGCTGTGACTGTGTGGTAGAGAACGAGTTAACCCTTCCGTTTGTTTAAAAAATTAATTGTGACATTTTCTGCTCCAACACTTCCATCACTTTCTGCATTCAGCTCTACCTCCGGGTACACTAGGCCTCCATGATCACAGTGTGTTAGGCTCCCATAGACTGACCCCTCCTTGCTGCTGGTCACCTCATACTTGAACTGTAGAGTGTGAATTTCAGCCCCTTTGCTGTGCTACACTGCCCATGGCCACAGGACCTTTGCACCTGCTGTTTGCTCAATCTTGAATACTCTTCTCCTTTACTTCCCCTGCAAGCATCTGCTCGTCTCCCAGGTCATAGGTCAAAAGCAGCCTTCTCCAGCTCTTAGGCATCAGTCCCGTGCAGCCTGCAATGTCCTGCTCTGCCCCTCTGCTCACACTTATGTGGCACCGCCAGCCCCAAGGGTAAGCTCTCTGAGGGCCAAATTTCCAACTGTATCCTATAAATTAGTATTCTTAGTTCCTGATATACAGATATTATATCACCTCTATTGAAGGAATGGAATAGAATCAATAAATGAATGAATGAATAAAGGGAATGAGAAGAGCAAAAGGATTCAAGGAAGAGAAAGAGAAAAAGAAGAAAAGCATGCAAGTCATAAACAGACCGATTGCCATCTGATTGTCATCGGTACTTTGTAGAATAAGTAGTTTAGACATTTGGAGAAAGGAACTAGAAAAGCAAACTGTTCCACAGGGGTGGAGCTAACCCCAGATACGTGCCTTTGAGAAGCTTCTACGGAGAGAGCGGAGGGTCAGCTGCTGAGCCCTGGGGGACAAAGGATGAGTGTCCTGCTCATTGGCTGGTTCAAGTCTGTTAAATTCACGAATACTTAATCATTGTTGTTTTTGGACTCTTAACTCTGAGGCCAAACAGCAGGGCTGATGGTGTCATTTTATGAGTGACTGTTAAAGTGGAAGATTTTTTATCTCCGAGTTGCCATTTTAACTGATGACCCTTATCCATATTTTGGGAAGCCCAGATTCTAGATGTTAAGTACATTTGAAAAACAAGGTGATAGGAAATTACTTGCCTTGGCTATTTTAGGGTAGACTAATTTTTCCATTTGTTCAGCTAGAGCCTTGTAACCCTACGGGCCATAAAGCATTTCCAAACAGCCTCTTGAAAGATTTGTTGCCACCCTGGCTTCCAAGCAGCTTAGCTCTCACATGGGGCAGGGGCGGGCTTCCTGTGCCAGCATGGGCGTCCTGTGATGGGGGGGCCTGTGTGATCGATTACCTTCTGCCATCTCTGTCTAGTTCCCAAGAATTTCTCAGTCTCCCAAACTAACACAAACTCCCAAGCCAAACCAGACGAGAGATGTGAAAAGGGAAGCCTCCTGGTACCCTCCCTTCCTTAAAAATTACAGTTCTTAAAGATTAATGAGGAAAGAGGAGGCCTCCAGGGAAGGGAGGGCTCACGAAGCCACACATTACCCTGGAAAAGCTTTGCATGTTGCCCAGGGCTCTCAGTGTGTCAGTCTATGAGGAATGAGGAGAGACTCAGGCAGTGCTGGGACCACGGAGACAGCCGCAGCTCCCCTTGGCCTGCCCCAGAAGTTGGCCTGGTTCCTCTTCTGGACGTTAAGAAAAAAGTGGATTCAGGGAACAGGGATCAGAAGGAAAAAAGGGGTCTCGGAGAACTTAAGGATTAGTAAGTCAAACTGCAGAACTAGCAGAGGACATCTGAATCACAAAGACAACAGTCCTTCCTTATCTGTGGGGGATATTTTCCAAGACCCCCAGTGGATGCCTGAAACCTGGGTTAGGGCAGAACCCAGTTGCCATCAATCAGAGCCCATTTCTCTCCTGTCTTCTACCTACAAATGAATGCCTTTTCCATCTTCACTGAGTACTTCCTCACTGCTGCCGTAGCTTTTGTAGTTTGAGGTGCAGTGGCAAAACTAGCACAGATTTCTCCTTTCTTCTTTACAATTTCATGGATAGAAGATTAGTTCTTATTGTAGATCTCAGCAACCTCAGCATATGATTTTTTTGCCTTAAGTCGAGAACTTTCACCTTTTCACTTAAAAAAAGCACTATATGGCTTCTCTATGTCTCTATATGTCCAAGTGGTTAGCATCACTGTTCTTGTGTTTGTGGTCAGTATTTATTTTTTATTTTTATTTATTTTTTTAAGACAGAGTCTCGCTCTGTTGCCGGGCTGGAGTGCAGTGATGCAATCTCAGCTCACTGCAATCTCCACCTCCTGGGTTCAAGTGATTTTCCTGCCTCAGCCTCCTGAGTAGCTGGGACTACAGGCATGCACCACCACGCCCAGCTAATTTTTGTATTTTTAGTAGAGACAGGGTTTCACCATGTTGGCCAGGATGGTCTCGATCTCTTGACCACATGATCCACCCGGCTTGGCCTCCCAAAGTGCTGAGATTATAGGTGTGAGTCACCGCGCTCGGCCAGCTTATTATTAAGTAAAGTAAGGGTCCCTTGAACACAAGCATGACAGTTGATCTGACACCCAAGATGGCTACCCAATGAGTAAGGGACCCTGGGCAAAGGAAGGATTTGCATGTCTCTGGCGTGCCTGGGTGGGATGGACCAGGACATGAGATTTCATCGTCATCTATTCAGAACGGCACACAATATAAGTCTTATGAATTTTTTATTTCTGGGATTTTTCATTTAGCATTTCCAGACCACAGCT